GAGAGAGAAGAAAAGAAAGAACAAAAAAAAAAAAAAAAGAAAAAGAAAAAAAATTTCGATTCGACCATTCGAATCTTCTTCGATATTCCTGAAAAGTGAAACGCGCGTGTGTAGTGAAATCTGTATAGTTTAACGCGGGAATTCATAAATTAATCGAGTAATTTATTAAAATCCACGCTCGTGTATTTTATATGTATATCATCGTGATCCTCGTAGAGGTAGAGGGAACAGGTATGCCGTGATATAATATCGCGGTCCACGAAAGGAGGACCTATTCGCTGAACCACCGTTAGAGAGATAGAGGCGCGGCAAGAACAGGCCTTTATGATCAACTCTCGTCTCGCCTTTCTCTATGGGAAATGGCGTTTTAATTATTACCCGGCGCATTAACCCTCTCTAACCCATCGTCACGCACCTGCATTCATGCGCGTGCCCTCTTGCGTGGGTGTGCGCGATTCCACAGCGAAGATAGTTCTTTGTGAAAGAATTCTCTGATTTTCTCGTCGATCGTAATTTTATATAATGGTATAAGAATGGATATAAAGAGATTGTAAACATCTAATTGTCCCCTTCTCTCTTTTTTTATTTTTCACATTTTCACGATACGAGGAAGATAATAAATAAAAAATAAAAATTTCTAACGAATCTACGATGATAATTAAAAGGAAAATGGAGGAGAGAAAATAAGTATTGAGTAGACGAGATTAAAAATTATTTAAGAATTCATTGGAGAAGGAAAATTGCTTGAAGAAAGATAAGAAAGATATGTTAAAACATTTCCAAACTCTTGCCTCACGTCGTAACCGCGACAAGTTCCGAGTAAAACGCGGTTCAAGCAACTGTCCGGTTTCCTGCCGGCAATTACACGATCATTGAATCCACTAACCGTCGACTATGTTAAACAGGTCGCCAATAAACGCCCACGCGGTTGCGAATCGCCGGCGGTTACACGCGCCAACGATTGACGACACCTTCCGAAATCGTCGTTCTATTACGATTCTAACGACTAGTAACCACGAGGTAAAGTGATTTAAATTGCTGCACCATAAGAGGTAAAGTAGCTTTAAGATTTATCACGGAGTTCTAATTCGAATAATCGTTTCTCACTCTAGATATCCTAACTCTCGAGTTATAAAATTTCTTAGAGTTTGTTGTATATCTATAAATAACGATGAGAAAACGACGATTTCAATGCAAAACTTAATATCAATATCTTTATCGACGTACGTTTAAAATTTTTGTAAGATAAAAATTAAGATTTAAATCTGATTACCATTTATTAGATATATTTTTTTCTTTCCAACTTAGATAATCGTCCTCGGTTCGAGATAAAATCCCGAGTTAAATCTGAGGCGAAGTTGAAATGGTAGCGGGTTGAATGGAGGACTCTGGACATGAGCTTGTTCGTTCCGAAAGAAGTCCGCGAGAGCGGAGAACACGGTGGTCCGTGGCGATGCAAATGCAAATGAGCCAGGTCGGCCCATATAGCGGGCGTGCATAGTGGGTCACATTAATCAGCCGGGCCCCACCGGCCAAATCACTCGCTTTTTAGGCCTCCCTTTAGCCTATCCTTTAGCTTATGCGACCATCGGCCCCCTCCTTCCCCGCCACGAGGATCCGAGTGTCGCAAATATTATCGCGGGATTCTGTACGACCGGTTTTCTGCCCGTGTCCCTTTTCCTCGAGATAATGGCAACGGGCTTAAAACGAACCACCACTCGAACCCCACCGTACTGGTATGCTTGTTCGTCTCCTCGCCAAAATACTTTGTCTTCCGTCCCAGACCAGTTTTGTAACTATTTGTTTCGGCTTCGTTCTCGAATTCTTCCCCTCCAACCTTCCGAGATTCCAACGAGAGCGTACCAAACGAAAGGCACGAGCCGGGTCGCCTCCATTTTTCGCCGATTTCGAGAGGGCACACCAAAGTATCTCTTTGAACGACTAATCTTATCTGATTTTCAACATAAAATGTACATCGATCGTGTGATGGGATCAAATATGAGTTTTTTCGTTTCAGATTGGTTTTGATGTTTCTCTTTTATTTCAATTTTTCACTTACAATTATAGTTTCATTCAAATTCATGAAATATATATATATAAAATTTTTAAAAAAACGAGAGAAGAAAAATAATAGATATTATTTTACGAAATAATAAATAGTCGTTTATTAGATGCATTAGAATTAGAATATTTTCAAATTCAATTAAGAAACGTGATACAATGGAGAATTTTTATAATTTGATTCTAATTTACTTTCTTCGTTCTTTTAGACTCTTATAATTTCGATAAAAAATTGGAATCTTGATACTTGATCCCGCTAGTTGTTCGTATCGTCATGCAGAATTCCTTGGAGAATTTGGGCGAGTCTCGCGTGCACCAATTACACGAGTAAAGTATCGGTCGAATTGAAGGAGTTCGGTTAAAAATTTCCAGCATTTCTACCTGTATCGAGTTCTCCTCACCACAATCATTGGACGGCGCTTACGCCGTGCATGTGCTCACGTACACACGCGTGTAACAGCGACCTGCCACGAGCAGGTTGTACTTACAGGACCGTATTCGGCGCCACTTAAGCGCCGACAAACTTATCCGTAACTACTCGATCGGCTCTCTCCTCTGAACTTCTGCCGGCCGAACGGGTGAGCAACATATCGAGAGCAAACGGCTCTTCCGGAACTCTTATATGGTAGGAGAGTTAAGTACGGACTCTGGGAGTAGTCGGGAATAACTCTGCTGGAATGGGCAATGGGTGAGTATCGAGAGGCGGTCGGAGTCGCAACGGTGGAAATCAGGGGAAGAGGAAAATGATGCTTTAACGAAGCAATAACGTAGGTAAAGAAAGGGTTATAGACTCGTAAGTGGCCACTTAAGCGAAGGTAAATGAAAACTTCCCTCGTGTAACGGTCCGTTCGAGCTTCCAATTGTTGAATCGAAAAATCGATGGCCGGTGATTCGTATTCCACTTCTCGTGCGATCTTTTTACTATTGCATATACTGGGTGCTTCGTTTCAACGAGAACGAATCGATATTGTGTTGTGAAATGGAAGTATTAAGATGGAGATCGAAGGTGGAGAGATTTTTTTTTTCATTTTTAAATGTTACTATTTAATCAAGATACATTAAGATAAGTGTAAATACAGAAAGAAAATACGATGGAAGAAATAAGATAAATATCTAGAATTGACTAAAAGACTGATTAACAGACGTGATTGTTGCATGATTATTTAATAAATAATTTGTACGAAACAAATATAAATCAACAATCATAACGATAAATAAGATCAACATTATTAATACTAGAAAGTATAAAATGATCTCGTAAAATCATTTAATATTAAACATTGGCCAAATTCTATGGAATTACCAAAAATTCGTATTCCGAATACTTGAATGTTCTCACAGACGTACACAGTCCCCTTATCCAGAGTCTTTAACTCGCGAGGAGTACTTATTTCCTATTGGAGACAAGGTATCGCACGTATTTCTTCACGTATGTAGTGTCCTCTCCCTAAAGAATCCTTAACATCGTCCCATTATTCTCATTCGCCTTGTCTCGGGACAAAGCGTTCCTTTCCCCCTTAATAGTCGCAGATCTGATTGCGAATCGTACGAGCTCGTTTCTCCTGTGAGCTTCTTGCAAACGATTATTCCAAAAAAGTCCCTTCCGATTACGCGCACTTAATAGGCTCGGACTCGCACGGTAATTGCGGGGTTAACTGATTTTTAATGACGGGTCTGTCGATTGCTACCGCGACCACACCGCGCTTCTTGTTCTTCTTTATGCTCCACCTTCTTTCTCCCTCTTCCACGTCCTCTCTTTTCCCTTTCATTTCAACGTTGATCCTCCCTTACGAATCCTCCTCTGCGATTCCTCTTCTTCCTCTATACGGACTTCCTCTTATTCTGTATTCCCGGTTTTTTCCACTACGTTTGGTCGAAACGATCGTTACCATGCCGGCAACCGGTCACGTATCGTTTATTAAACCGCGTTACGAGTTTTTAATACCACCACCATCGCCAGAAAAATTGAGACCAACCGCGTTGTTATTATCCCCTGTCCAATCCAAAGATCTTCCAAAGACTTATATACTTCGATTACTGCGTTTAAACTTCTCTTATAGGATATTCGATCAAATTTTTTTTATAAATATTTTTCGATATTTGTTTTTCATTTTGCCAATTATTTCGATTCGTCGTTCATTTTTACGTTCCAAACTCTTAAAAACTCATCTATCTATCTATATCATCCAAATCGAAAAAAATAATGAAGAATTTCTCGTGATATAAGTAGATATAAGTAGCAATAAAAAAATATAATATTAATTTTATATCGTTACAAGCTACTTCAATTCTCTCTTAATATTCTAATTTCTATTTTATTCTTTTCAGGGGACTGTACTCTTGCCAAGTATAGGAGGACATTCCTATACGTGATAAATTAAATCGATAGCCCCCTTTCCCCCTCCATCGAGAGATTTCAACACGTCATTTGCTACAACAGATTATTACCAACGATCGCCAACTCGTTAGGCACCGCGAGATAGTACGTAAGTACATGCATTTGCCATTTCTCAAAGTTTTAACTTAAGACCTCGCGATTTACAATCCGACGAGGCAGTTCGCGATCCCCGGTGTGGAAAGAGCAGGATCTATTAAGAGCCGCGACTTGGAAGACCCCGAGTGGCCCCCGCAGGACTAAACTATCGGCAAAATATCGCTCTTCTATATCTTTAACAAGTTCCCTGCCCGTAATCACCGTTCCGGCATTGCCTCCACGTCAATAAATACAGAGTGTGCCGAACGACACGACGTTTCGGTTACGTAATCGTTATTGCAACGCCGATGTCCGTGACTGGTCTCTAAATTATTAAAACATCCTATCCACGACAACACGGTGTAGACGACATAGCGTAACATTTATCACAGACGATGTTATTCGTGCTAATATATTAAGGCTCATTTCCAATTCAAGGATTCGAGAGCACGCAAACACCGCGGTAGGGAATAGGCTCGTATTAATACAGATGTTCATAAATAATACGCGTTAATGTATTTTCGAAATATCGCCGTTGCTTTTCTGGAGGAATTTGGATAAACCAGTTACTAAATCACGGCGATAATTCTTCTCTGGTAATTTGGGATTAAAAAAAATAAATGAAAAAAAAAGAAAATGGGATTTGAATTCTTGGTGGATTGACTTGTTATAAAGATTTTGTAATTTTATTAAAGGAAATTTTACTTTTGTAAAAATTCCACAAAAGTAATTTATTCATTTTTAATTATTCTTCCGAATATTTGGAATGCTAAAACTATGACAAAATTTAAAGTGAATAAAATAAAAGGATATAGGTTCTCTCTACCAATAATTCTGCTTCTGTTTTTACAGAATATAATAAAACAGAGATCTTTTCAAAAACTTGATGAATCGAAAAAAATTCGAGTTGAATTCAAGGATGTTCTACATCTGACTCTACTTTGGAAAAGTGCTTCTTATTTGGGAATAATTTTCATATTCTATAATAATTCATGATGAAAAATATTCACAGAGCTATTCAATCGTTAACTATTTTTAGATATTTTTTTAAGGCGAGGAACAAACGATAACAAAGTTGCATAATGTAATTATCATTACATAGCGTCCGTTTGCGTCTTTTCTAATTTGCGTGGGCGTTCTAGGAAGTCGAGTAGATCCGTGACTTTTCAGACCTGCAAATTCGCACGATACTTTCGATCATGACGGCCACTTGGTATTGTTGTTTCTTGCGTAGAACGCGAAATCATTGTTTAGAATGGTCATTAGAATATCGTGTCACGTTGTTCCATGATAGTTGGCTTCGAAATGCGAATCTACATTACGTTGATTCGTCTATATTCATTATTTTGAAGGATACGTAACAACAATTAGTAACCGAGAATAATAATAATCGATAGTTCGAATTGTTTATTAAGATAATTTATATATGGCGTCAGATCAATTCCGAATGATAATTTATTGTTGCTAGCTAACATATTTCTTATAGAGATAAAACGTTCATTAAATGAATAAGCAATTTTCGACATTGAAACAGAAGATTGTAGCATAAAAATAACAAGTAATATTCTATAACTTCTAAGATTTCAGAAATTTTTTTACTTCCAATTATAAATTTTTTTATATTTTCTACAAACAATAGAAAAATTTTGATTTTTTCCGTGAGTATTTTATCTCCTGTATTCAATTTTATGCATCTCTCGTTCGCTGTATTTTAATTTTTTATCAATCCTTCGTTCTTTTACGATAATGGTACCGGAAATGATTCTCGATTTTTTTTTCTCATCATTCGCGCAGTTTTTGCGCAGAGGATTAAGAACACAATTCTTGAAGACAGCACCAGATTACTTGAACGGAGAAAAAGATGGCCAACAATGTAACGGAAATCACACTTTAATATATTGACACCCATGCACGTTATTATTTTAATGTGGCTCGTTGACTAAGCCCGATTCAGACGGCGAAGAAACTCGAAATCCGGTTGCTGGAATGAGCCATTGTGTCGCCACAAAATGCACCAAGTATCTTCAGAAAGCTCGTGCGAATATTGCGGCATAATAATCGCAATGATGCATATGTTGATACAAGACAAAATATCGAAAATAAAATGAAAGAAGTGATCGAACGAATTTTCTTTCAAGTCCTGTTTCGTATATCTGATTAAAATATAAAGGATTTACTCGAACTCCATTGAGGAGAAAGGATTCATGGAGTTTGACAGTTAATTGGAAATTGCATACAATTTTGCTAAAAATTTTTTGGAATTGGTTTTTGATTTTGACGTGGATTATGAATTTTAAACTGCAAGTACTTGGAATAATATCATAGAAATTTGATTGTTTCAATTTTTTTCAGTCAAATAATTTTCAAAACTAAATTTGTTTAAAATTTCTCAATTTTTGAGAATAATAATGTCTTGTACGTGCGTATCGAAACAACCTCAAC